TGTTTTTTATTCTTGGTCAGTAGAATTATTAGAAAACGTTGACTTTTTAATGGATTTTTTTAAGTAGCAGTCCTGCCTTGAGTATGATGGAATTGAAGAAAAATGAAAAAGAAATATGGACCTCAGAAGACTCTGTGATTGTACCGATGTTGGAGAAGGCCAATTTGCTAACTGGTGGTCCACTCCAAGTGAATGGTAACAGCCGCTTAGGTAAAATAGATCAGGATGAAGGAAGGTAAGGTCTATACATTACTTATTTTTCTGTGAAGGAATGTCAACAGTGATTACTTTTTCTGGAAATAAACCAGGGTATTGTAATCTGCAGGCCAAAGCAAGAGAATACTCAATTCTATCACTGCTGATGAAATGTTATTAAGGTGAGGATAAGAGACTATAGGAAGGAGCAGTTTCAAAAAACGGTCACCATGGATACCTGACTATTGGTTAAGTGTAGACAGCTCAGTAGCGAATGTTTACTGTGAAAGGCAATAGAGAATGGGTGAGAACTAAAGAATAATGTGGGAATCAAGGGAGTTTTCTTTCTTCTCTTAATTTTAAAAGGGAAGAGTATGTTTGTATGTCATTAAAAATGATCTAGTACAGAAAGCCACGTTTATTAAATTTAATTTTGTTTGCATTTCCAAGTATTAGAAAGCCTCATATATTTTCTTTTAAATATTTATAGTAAAATAATTGTCCTTAGATCTTCTAGTCATATATAGTTTTATGGAATATTCTAATGTAATTGAAAATGCACACGCTCACATACGAGTTAAACTATCATACATAGATTTTTAACTCATGAAGTAATAAAGATATAAACAGTCCATACTGAATAGAATTTAATTCTTTCTTGATCACTCTGTATTATTACAGAGCCTTTGACAGGATCATGAATAGCTGCGATTTTATGAGGTACTCTAAAATGTCAGGTGTATTAACTTAGTTATTGTTTAGATTGTGGGGAAAATGGGAGGATTTTATTTATATACAATAGAAAGATAAGCTATTGATAATCACAGATTATTACTTCTGGATTCTAAAGTTCTAAAGTATAAACCCATGTTCTGTGTACCAGCAGTGTCATTGACATGCATTGTGTGCCCAAGAAGTTTTTGCTGCATTCATAAATGAAGAGTTAAATAGATAAATTACTTAAATAATGTTTCCAAATAAGTTTTAGTGCCAGTAAAAGCTTGTTTTTATTGAAAATGACAACCAAAAAAAAA